AAGATGTTTAGAATGAGAATCTCTAACACACATCTAGTAGTGTTAGAAAATGGAGAGAATAGGAAAGAGGAACCAAAAACAACTTTCTTCTGAGAATTATCAAGATAAGGATGTATTCTTTGATTAAACAAAAGCAAACCAAGTACTTCCATTTTCCTGCATGTGCTGAGAACGTTTAAGATCTGCTCTCTTAACAACTATACAAGTATATATCAAGTATAGTATCATTAACTATTGTCACCATACCGTACATTAGATCCCCAGAACATATTCACCGTATAACTGAAAGTTGGTACTCTTTGTCTAACATCTCCCCATTCTCAACCCTCCACCTTCCAACCCGTTTCTATAAATTCAGCTTTTTCAGATTCCGTGAATAGATGAGATATGACATGTATTTCGACAAGAGCCCAATATCGCTAAAAAAAGAAAGTGTTTAGAACCAGAAATAACATACCAGATTAATCCTTCAGATCCTATCAGTGACTATCATGTGACTCTTTTCAGTGACACTATTCCTATTACTCAGAACAGCAATGAAATAGTTCTTTAATCTGATAATTAAATTACTCTATGTCGTTTTTCTCTGGTAGCCCCAGTACCTCTTATTTAAGTTCTGGCATTTCTACTGCATTCTAAGATGGGAAGGGATGAGTCTAGGATCTTGATCCTTTGGCAGAAATATCTGAAGCAGGAGAAGGAGGGACAAACCTCAGGAAAGACTCAGGAAAAACTGGCTCTCTTTTCTCTGAGATGTCCTGCACAGGAGGTTAAGTCACTTTTCCTGACTCCCCTATCCCCTCCAAAACTCCCTGGGGGCTGCTTCTGCTGCTCCCACCACTATAAGAAAGTAAAACATAACTGGAAGTGCCATTGCAGCTTGAAAAGAACCCTGTGATTTTCCTCTTCACATGAGCTAAAGGAAAGGAATAGACTAGGATCACAGACAACCAGCCAGGCATGGAACACAAACAGTGAAGCAGGCCAGCTATGAGACAAGAGTGAGTGGTGAGAACTGTGGCAGCCAAACATGTGGGATAAGCCAGCTTTACCAGACCTCTGTTTTTTTGTTTTGTTTTGTTTTTTTCAAGAAAACCTAGGCCTCCTGGTTATTCTTAATTAAATCTCCTATTTTTTAAATCTGGGTAACTAATTCACAGTGGCATTTAAACTCAGAAAGGCAGACAAAGCCCATGTGCGGGCTGGATCAGACACGGGAACAGCCAGATTGCATTCCCCGGCTTGCTCTGTTCTGCCCTGGAATTAGTGGGGCATTTCCGAGGACACTCAGGACACCACACATATCTCATTGCCTAGGCGTGGGGAGTAACTGAGCCAAAGAGTGACTCCCCGATGTATTTCTCAGCTTGAAGAAGAGAGATTTGCATAACTTAGACACGATGTTTCCTTCAAAACTTCCATTCTTTACTGGATTTCCTGTCTTACAAACAGCTTTTCAGTGTGCCTTATACTCACTGTCAAGACTTTTACTGTCAGCAATTGGTTCTGCCTTCTAGGGCTTAGAGAAGGAGTTCTGAATAAGTAGTAAATAATAACCTGATTTTGAATGCTGAGTGCCCAGAGCCAGGCCATCCTTTGCCTGCTTCCAATCTAGCATCTCACGGTTAGTGGATTGTCCACAAAAGAATGAAAGTGGAGACACACCCTGTCTGTGTGGAGTCGGGGTCCAACGGAGGGCAGAGGTGAAAAGGAGCAGACAGAATCACTACTCTGGATGAACTGAAAAAAGTTTTGGTTAAGGTGCTGTTGCTCCTGGTAAGTAGCAGAACTCCAATATGACATCAGGCACTGGGACTCAGCTGAAAAGGGCCTTGGAGACAGGTCCAAGGTAATAATGCCAGCAGCCACCTGTGGCCCGGAGGAAGCTAAACACAGCAAATGATGACACCTAGTGCTTCTTCATGGTTAAGGAACTTGGAATCTCATTTGTATTTAAATTTTTTCTTATCTTATTGTTTTTCCACCATCATGTCTAAGTTAGCTTCTAGGAGAGTGTACAGAAGGATCAGGAGGGATTCAGAAGAACAGAGACCACTGGCATAAATAGTGCCTCACCCCGATCATCCAGCCTGATTTAGAGTGGGAGTGGCTGAGGCTGCTGAAGGTAAGTTGAAGGGCTAGACAGACTCAAAGGCTTAAGAACAGCTCTCTTCCCTTAGGAGCAGCCAAGGAGACCAAGAATCAAAAGCAACCTCGCAAGATGGAAAGAGCCTGGATCCCTGAGTCACCACTTGAAGCGGGGGCTGCCATAGAAAAGAAAGCAGCTCAAACCTCATCAGATCTTGTAATAGAAATAAATTTTCATGGTGGTGAGCCACTGAGATGTGGGGATTGTTTGTTACTGCAGCATAGCTTAAAATGACCCTTAGACAAACACCTAGAGGGTCAGGGTCATTTTGAAATGGGTATTATTATTATATTAATGGAAATGCAGATTCTGGAAGTAGTTCATCTTGATTCATATCCCAAGTCTACCCCTTACTATCTGTGTAATTTGGGGTAAGTTATTTATTCTAAACTTCAGTTTCCTCGCCTTTAAAATATGGCTAACATTTACCTTAGAGACCTCAAAAGATTATTATTAGATACAAAAGAGATAATCTGTGCAAAGTATTCAGTGTGGTGTCTGACGCTTGGTAAGAATTTAAGTCTTAGCTATTCCTTATCTAATAACTATTTTGGGGCCTTACGTCTCAAAAGCCTAACTAAAGTTGAATGTGCAGATGAGGCCAGAAAAAGTTGGCCATTACCATTCACTGTGGTCACACTGCATAATCTTGACATTTAAAGGAATACTTGAAAGACTAGAAAAGAAACAAACCAAGCTCATAAAAGTTGTGTTAGGGAAATTGAAGGATGTGGCCCTTTCTCCCCACAACACAAACGCACTATGGCAGAGACCTATTCACCAGTCCCAGTTCTTCTTCAGGGGCACGACTAACCCAGTTCTTTAGACTAGAACATAGGAGCAGAAGAGGCAAAGGCCACTCAGTCCTGGTCCATAAGCTCCTTCTATGAGCAGTCCTCCAGGCATGATGACCTTTGAAACCACATGTGAAAGGTGGTGGAGCGGAGGATAAATGAGTCTCTGCTTGGAGGAGAGGTGTCCACTGATCAGGAGAGCCATCCGCACTTAGGCAAGCAGGAACTACACTTCCGTCAAGTTTGAGCCATTACATACCATGGGATTTGTTTGTTGTAGCAGTTAAAGCTCTTATTCCATAACAACGTGTCAAATATTTTTCTAATTCAAGTACTTGACTTATGTTGGGGGAAAAAAGCATGCTTTTAACACACAGCATTTTCATTTTGTTTTGTCAGCGAAGTTGTAGTCACTTATATAAACAACAGGGGCAGACTTTGAATTCCCTTATCCCAAATACGTCAGTCACTCCAAACAAGGGGAAAGTTTAAGTTGTTTTGCCTGCTCCCTCGCTAATCACCTGGGTTCATCACTTCCTGAGAACATTCTCTAAAATCTACTAATGCAGCGAACAGTCCCGTGTCAGACAGGCAGGAAAACAAGTGAGCTATGATCATTACGTCTTTACGCAATCTTGTGACAGTTCCTTTCTTCACGCATAGGGGGAGGAAAGAAATGGGTCATCGTTAACCAAATTAAATTCCTAAGCCTGGTTCCCACTTGCTAAATATGCCCCCCTCCTTTATTTGGGCTAAGTTCTCCTGCTACTCCATTCCCCCATCCTCAAACACCCAACAGAAGGACAGCTGGTTACTTACCCAATGCATGGATTGGTCTGGTACCTCGGCGCTGTATAGGAGAAAGGAGAGATGCTCTTGTCTACAAAAGACCCGAACCCCAATCGGAAGTTGCTAGTGAGCTTCCTCATCTCCTCAGCGAGCTTAGTGCCCAGGTTCCGGATGTTGTCCAAGTCATCCTTCATGGACAGGGAGAGGTCCATCAGGTAGTACAAGTCCACAGGATAATCCTCCACCTGTCGAACCTGCAGCTGGAAGGCAGTCTTGTCACCTGTGCCAACAGAGAGGACCTGTACATTAGAGGTCATTCAACTTGCTGGGAGCCAGAGGGATGGAGTTTGCTTTCAAAGCTGGCCCACATCTTACTTTTCCTTAGTGATCGTGTGCCTCTCAGAAGAAACACTTTTCTTGGAAGTAGAGTGACAGAAAGGAATATGGGCGCTAAGGATGAAGCTTTAGGTTCTCCTTCTAAATACTTGGCTCTGCATTTTTAAGGAAACTCTTTAACAACCAGTCTCTTTAGTGGTCTGTTTTCTAAACAGAAAAGACACTTGGGTAATTGGTGGACGGTGAGCAAAACAATTCCAAGAACATAGTTTGGGTGAGTAGCCCCCAAAGACATACTAACTTCAGAAAAAAGACCGGCCAAGGTGGGAATGTGGCCACGAGACTTTAAAGGTGTGTGTGAAATAGAAAATGAGGATGAAATTAACAAAAGAAGGATACAGACATGAGTGAGTAAGAACTGAGGTGAGAGATTACAGAGCAATGGGGGGTAGGGACACAAAGATAGTTTCTTAGAATATCCCCAAAGGGCAAACATGTTTATGCTTGTGCCATGTCATCTACTCCTATTTCCCTAGCTATTGATCAAACAATGGTACCTAGTTTTGGGACATATTTGATGTTTTGGAACATCACGGACACAATTTATTATCATCAGAAATTATATGCAGGGAGACAGATTCCAAATTTTAGCCATATCGGGGGGGTGGGGGCGGGGCAGAGAGAAAGCAAGGAAAAACACTACTAAATTTTTCCACCAGCTACAGGAAAAAGAAAATAATTTTTGGTTTTACGATAGGATAGTCAACAGAAAGAAGAAAGAGGAATTAATTCAGAAAAACAGAGAAAAAAGCCAGTGTCTGGGAGGCGTGTCCTCTGCAATCTCACCCCCGAGGTGTACAGAAAGATCCAAGTCAGTGCAATACTTGGGGGACTTACGCCAGAATAACGATCCTAAATCCGTTCATAATCTCTAAGAACGTGTTGTTTAGAAGCAACATCAAGAAGCAAAGCGTATCAGGTAATTCTTTCTGCCCTTGGGCTGATTAGCCTTTTAGAGGCACCAAGAGATGTCCTTGAACTCTTTGGGTAGAAGAATTGTCCACACACGTTTGAAATCTGGGTGTACTTGGTGTGTTTAGAGGTGCAACAGTGAAAGTGGCCTCACTCCTGCCCAAGGGGTCAACACCTGACCTGCCAATCTTTCATCTCCAGCTGAAAACCAGCAAGCTGAAGCCTTCTTGAACTTATGGGACGGGGAACCCAATCCCCTATGCTCCCTCTCCTCTTCCCACTCCAGACCAGACATATTTCATTAACCAGACCATGAAGAATCAAATGACCAAAAGATTTAAGTCCAAGTTCCAGCCTGTCTCTCAATTAGGGGTGCAACCTGAGCCTCAATTTCCTTAAACATAAAATAAAAAGAATAACAACAAAGCATCGATTAAGGCTCTGAAGGACTCGTGAGAGAGAAAAATGTTTTGTAAGCAGTAGAGCCTGCATAAACGAAGTATGATTATTATAATTATTATTTGTAGCCTAAGTGACAGTGCCGCACCTGCTTCCCCTGACTTGTCGTGGCATGTACTGTTCTAGCCGCCTCAAGATTGATGTAGTTTGGGTTGCCTGTTGGTATGAGCCTATTTTTAAAAACCATCAGAGTCTGACTCAAATGGAGGAATGTTCAAGATTTCTTCCAGAATGAATTCCGGACTGCTGCAATGTCTGTCTCTGGTTCCCGTCAGACAGAACAAGTCCCTGCATGGGGCCCCTCCCAGCCCTAGATGTCATGTCACAGCGGGGAGGGGAAGAGGGAGAGGGAGAACTTGGAGGGAATGGAGACCCTCCCTGGCCTTTGCATGGGCAGAACTCAGACCCCAAATGGCCAGAGCCTGCAATCATGTCCCCTCTGTCCAATCCCATGAACTTTTTGCTGGGTCTCCTGCATTTTCTGTCACTTGTGCCCTTTTCCCCACCCCCAAAGTTACAGTTGCACCCTCTTTTATCCAGAATCCACTTCCACCTCTTTGTGAATTATGAATAATTAACAGATGGGCACTTTAGGACCAGGAAACAGAAAGCTGGCCTGGCTTCAGAGAGCCGCCCACGGGAAGGAAGTGGAGAGGGGGAGCCGGGTTGGAAATCTTGTCACCAAAGACTCAGAGACCTCAGGCTCCTTTCAACTGGCTGCTCAGTTTCTGGATCAGTAAATTAGAGCGGATGTTAATTATTGCGGAGATTAAAGGAGACAATATATGTAAACACCATACAAATGCTTCCACGCAAGGAAACTTCAGCCTCAATTCCCCCGAGCATCAACTGTTAAAGCAATTTCCTTTGGGGATAAGAAGAGAGAGAGAAAATCCTGCCAGAAACTTGAGTGAGAAAGGCTACGCCCTTAGGCATTAAATTTAACTCAAAATTTTCCAGACACGGAGGCAAAGAGGGAAATAAGATGCGATCTAGAGGTCTCTTTGTACACTAAGAGGGTGTCTATCCTGAAGTGAGAATCTTTTGGCATGACATTCTAAGAGAAATCAATCACTAAGAAGACGTGTGCATGCACACGATCGGGAAGCTGTCAGTGTTAAAAAGAAATATTTTTCCAGTTTTCCAGAAAGGGAGGGGTATGAGAAAAAGAGGAACAGCATGAATGTTTAGAATGAGGATTTATTGCTACTACCTCAACTATGCCTGATTTTAAATGCTACAAGCTTCTCAGTGAGCCTTGGCAATAATGGAATGTTCTGTCAGCAGATTTTGGAGGGTCTGACATTCCTAGACCCGTGCTCAGTGTGGGAGTTAGGCTACAGAGCACCAACTCCTCCACAAGGGTGGCCTCCAAGGTTAGCGGACTGAAGGTGAAGCCGTTGCTGCATGAGAGGTGCACTCTGCTTGGAGAAGGTCTGGGGCACGTTTTCCATATTTGGGGACACCTTTGGGACCACGCACACTTAGTCACACTCCATCAAAACATCCAGCCACCCAGCCCTCCATCACCTGAGACTTTAAAACAGTCGCCACCTCCCTTGTATCCAACAGGGTGCAAAGACCTTCTCACCTTCTCTATGGGTGCTTGGTCTGTGCCTGTCTATGGTGACACCATCCTGGCCCAGATGACCCCTTCCTTCCTCTCCATGTAGGACCCCTACAAGTTCATCTGCCCCTCTAGCTACATGCCTTCTCTCTGCGGCCACTCCACATAATCAGGACCAGCAGCAGGATCAGATAAATAGGATAAAGCAAACTCGAAAACAAAAGCTGATCACCTCACACCTGTGAGGATGAAGCTACTCCTGCAAGCTGCCCCTTCTCATGTCCTTCTGGCTTTTCCTATTTCCAAAGCACCCAGCTCCAACTGTATTTTGCACAGAATCCCTGCCACTGCTCAGTTCAGAGGTTCTCCCACCGTAATCAAGTATCAACTAGCATTCCACCTAAAATGGATTTTTTTAAAGCTTTCTTCTCTCTGCCCTCCCTTCAATAAAAACTAAAAAAATTAGCTTTTCCTTAGGGAAATATATCAGATGACAAACATTACAAGAGAGTAAAAGTAGAGAATTCCAGAAGGAACTTCTAGTTTTTTTAAGATCGATTTTAGTTCGAATGTTAAGACACAGTAGTCCTTCAACACATAAAAACTGTTGCCATCCCCCAAACAATGTAAGCGGCTTTCGATTCCCCAGCATCATCCTTCTGGGCTAGAAATTGAAAGAAAGAAGGAAAACACGAAAATTAGCTATTTTACAACAGGACTGCAGCTGAACAGGGAATTAGGGCCCTAGTGTACACCTCAGAAAACTATCATCTAGTTCTCAGCAGCAGAAGGTAATAGAATCCCAGAATTAAATCCAGACCCAAACCCAAAGAATCACTTCACTGGCCTAGAACGAAGCCTCTACGCTAGACCGTACCCTACTCCCCACTTCAGAATCCTTACTCTTGACAGACGGAACCATGGTTGGCCTCCACAGTGTCTGTGCCCAGCATTAGGGATCAACAGTCCTAGTTTCCTTGAAAATAATCCTGTCTTAAACAGTTGGGGCTGCTGCAACAAGTACCATGAATTGGGTGGCTTATAAACAAGAGAAATTATATCTCATAGTTGTGAAGGCTGAAATCCAAGATCAGGGTGCCAGCTTGGTCAGGTTCTGGTGGGGGCCATCTCCCAGGTTACAGAATGTCGACTTCTTGCTGTGTCCTCACAAAGCAGAAGGGGCGAGAAAGCCCTCTGGGTTTTTTTGTTTTGTTTTGTTTTAATTATAGTACTAACCTCATTTATAAGGACTCTACCCTCCTGACCTAATCACCTCTCAAAGGCTCCACTCCCTAATATCATCACATTGGGGGTTAGGATTTCAACTTGTGAATGTTAGGGAACATAAACATTTAGTCTGCAGCAAATCTCTTATCCACCCATCATCAAGTGTATGCATTGTCAGTATGGGTGGCAGAAGCAACACCTCTAACGGGTAACTGGCACCTCCAAGCAGCATAAATAGGGCTGGCAGGAAACCCACAAAAAAAGCCACCTGTAGTCCAGCTGAAAGCATAGTACCAGTGTCAACTTCTGGCTTTGATAACATACTCTGGTTATGTAACATGTTATCATTGGGAAAAGCTGAGAAGGGTACATGGGAACTCTATTATTTTTGTAACTTCTTGTGAATCTAAAATTATTTCAAAATAAAAAGTTTAAAATTTTTAAAAAGCCATCAATCAGGGGTCATTTTTTGAGAGGCGAAGAGATTGGGGCAAATAATGACTTAAGTAAACACTATCTAAGGGCTCCACCTCTAATTTTTTACCATTTCAGTAAACTTTATTCTAAAGTTTATGTCCTTTCTTAAGGATTTTATGTCCTTTGTTAAGGCTTTTTTTTTTTTTTTTTTAAAGCTTGTTATCCTGACATTTTCAGGATTGGAAACAAAATGGAAAACATGATCCTGTGTTTATACAAAATCCTGCTTAAAGTCTGGCAGTTCCTCATAAAGTTAAACACAGAATTACCACATGACCCAGCAATACCACTCCTAGATATATACTCGAGATTATTGAAAACACATGTCCACACAAAAACTTGTACATGAATGCTCATAGCAGCATTAGCCATAATTGCCCCAAAGTGGAGAACGGCCCAGTCATTGATTAAAATGTGGTATATCTATATATATATATATATGCAATGGAATATTATCTGGCCATAAAAAGGAATGAATTCCTGATACGTGCTATGACATGGATGAATCTTTAAAACATTTTGCTAAGTGGAAGAAGCCAAACATAAAAGGCCACATATTACATAACTGAAATGAAATATCCAGAATAAGCAAAACTATAGGGATAAAAAAGCGATTAGTGGTTGTCCGAGACTGACTGTGGTGGGGAGGTTGAGGATAAGGAGTGACAGCTAATGGGGACAGTGTTTCCCTCTGGAATGATGACAATGTTCTGGAATTAGTGCTGACGGTTGCACAACTTAGCAAATACACTATAAACCACTGAATTGCACACATTAAAATGGTCAATTTTAGGGTACGTAAATTATATCTCAATTAAAAAGAAAATAAAAAACAAAAAAATCCTGCCTAAAGTACAGGGAGATGTTTCTTTTTCTTTTTTTTCCAGGCTTATCCTGGAACGATAACTTTGCCTTGGTGAAGTCTCTCTCATGCTGAGGCTTGTCTTTGGCTGGTCTGGTATGAGGCTGGTAAAGTGTTACATTTCATTCAACAAGTATCTATTATGAGGTAATGGGGAGAAGGACAAAGAAGGAGACACAAAAGCATTTTTAAAAGCACATAATGGAAAAACCAATCACTACAGGCTAAACTCCTTCACCAGAGGCAGAGATCATTACTTTGAGGTAAGTGATGTACCTGGTAAACTCAAAATGTTGTTAACTGCAACATAACATTTTCTCCTTCCCCCAAATAAATAAATATCTGGGGTTTGCTTGTACTTCCTTTCAAATGTTAACATTTTCAAAATTTTAAGAGGCATCATTGGCTTCAAGTACTTCCATATTTGAGAAACATATTCACAAGGTACTAGACCTTTAGAAATTCATATTTCCATCAGATCTCCTCCGAGTCTTCATCTCTATGACTAAAACATCTTCATAGTTTGGGTGTGTCTTCACAGGGCAGCCAGCCCCTCCATCACCCTGACTTCCCAGCAAGAGGCTCTCCATCACTAGACCTTCCACAGGACCAGAGCTGTACCCTGCACCCTCATCGTGATTTTGTATAAACACAGGATAACATTTATTTTATTTCCAATACCAAAAACTGTATCATAATGCTTAGTGGCAGATGCGACTATACCAAATACGACCGATTTCTTTTTTCTTTAATTGAGCATACACTGAGCTTTATACATAAATAAGTATTGTGTGTAAATTTAATGCCAAGAGAACTTTGCCCAAGGAGGCTGCCTTCACTCAAATTACATCTTTAACTCCTTTTGGGGCACTGCTTTAAAAGCCAGTTGATAAGTCAAACAAACAACAGTTTCTTTACCTTATAGTCACACTTTAATTCTGATTTTAAAATCTGGAATTAAAATTCTGACATCTCTGGCTTTGTGTAACCTCCAACCCTGAGAGCAATTATGGATGAAAAGTTCCAAAAATATAAAAACCTCCCTCAATGATGACTCTGAAACTGTAAGCTGTTTTGGAGGTGTGAATTTTGGTCTTTGTTTTCAAAGATTATTAAGTGAAAACTATACACAATTATAAATACACAAGTACATGAAAATATGAATCATGAATAAAGATAGAGGATCTAGCAAAAATGAAAAATAATATTGTGCTAAAGTGGATGATTTTTCAATAATCTCCTTTAAGTTACTGTCATCTTTTTATTATGATAAAAAGGAAGATACACATTCACAGTAGTTCATAACCATTCTTATCCTACACAATGTTCCAATATCCCAACAGTCTACCACAACTCCTACATCCCGTTTTAGGTCAAAGCCCTTGACCCTGTGCCTGTCTGCATATAAGGAGACAAGTTATTTTCTCCTAGAGGACATCATCAAATGTCTGCCCACATAAAGGCTCAGCTGACTCTTTTCTACCTACTCACATGGCTTTGTAAGGGCTCCCTTCCTTCTCTCCTAATTTGGTGTCTCACCAAACAAAAAGGCTAAATGTCACTTACAGTGAGATGATTTATAAAAACAGCAACTTCAACAAAACCCAGCAGTAATCCCGGGGCCTTCCAACAGTTCATGCCTCTCTATCCAGCAGGGCCACTTACACCTTGTTTTGTTTCTTATTTCCAAGATAATTCAATAGACAAAACATTTCTCAAATATATGATGACTCAGAGCTCTTTCTAACGAAAACAAGAAGTCCTGAGTATTTCCTGAGAGCAGCGCCACACTAAATCCATTTCTGAGACGCTGAGAATCCCTGTTCAAATCTAGATCTGGCTGATCCCAGAATCTGCATCTCTGGCTGTTACTCTTTGAATAATAACTTTAACTTTTTAAAGTGCATTTATACAAGAAGGTTCATTTAGGCCTCTGACCATGGCTGTGAGGAATGAAGGTAATGAAGACCTTGAGATGCAAAGAGTGGGGGTAACTTGCCCAGGCCCTCTGAGTTAGGGAGAGCCAGAGCCAGGATAGCCAACCATATGCGTGGTCTTTTTACTGTGGCAAGACGCCCTGAAATCTATATAAACCATCCAGAAACAGTGATCGCCAATAGTTTCCTAGACAATGGAATAGAAGAAAAGGCTACTAATCAACAGAATTAGAAAAAAAGCTGCCTTTTCTCAACAATGTGATACTTCCTAATCTAGCCACATACATATCCATACCTTTTGACATCCAAGGATTCTGATATATTAGCTATCTTAGGGTAAGTAAAATATTTAGCACATAGCAAGTGTGCAAAATCTGTTAGTTTCCTTATACAACAATCAACTCTAGGGCTCACACGGTCTCCAGGGTCATAAAACAAAATTACTCTAAAATTCCCTTCAAAATGCCACTGACGCAACGGAATGTGCTGACAGGAAAAAGTACGTTTTCTTGGAAGTAGTACTTTCCCTGAGAAACCTGCGTTACCTACACCCTCCCATAAAAAAGCAGTAACATTACTCACAGTAGCTAAAAGGCAGAAACAACCCGTGTCCATTGATGGATGAATGAATAAACAAAATGTGGTATGTATATATACAATGGGATCTTATCCAGCCTTAAAAAGAAAATTTTGACATATGCTACAATATGGATGAACCTTGAAGACATTACACTGAGTGAAATAAGCAAGACACAAAAGGACAAACATGTATGAGCCTGCTTATCTGAGGTATCTGGAACAGTCAAACTCATAGAGACGGAAAGAGGAACAGTACTTGCCATGGGCTGCGGGGAAGAGGTGATGAGGAGTCATTGTTCAATGAGTATAGAGTTTGAGTCTGAGAAGATGCAACAAGTTCTGAAAATGGATTTTGGTGCTGATAGCACAACACTGTGAGTGTATTTAATGCCACTGAACTATACAGCTAAAAATGGCTAAAATGGTCAATTTTCTGTTACATATATTTCACCATAATTTTTAAAATTGCAAAGATGTCCCGTCCACCCACAGGGGCCCTGTACTCTGCTTCCTGCAGTCTGAGTCATGCCTCGCCATCACCCTCCCCAGCTCTTGCCCTCAGCCCACCCTGGCTCATTTTCCTATTATTAACATATCCTGCCTTTCTCAAGGGCACTCACCAGGCCGCAGGTCCACAGCGATCTCCTGTGGTGTCATCTGAATGACATCTGAGCCGGCAGAGCCGGAGCCCTTGCTGCTGAGAGGAAGGCTCCGCAGGACCTGGGTGCTGCTGGCCGGGCTCTCAAACTCGCCTTCACAGCCATTTCTGACCAGGTTTGCCCTCAAGTCACACCGGGAGATGACTGACCGCGGGCTGCCGAAGTCCTAGGTGCAGAAACAGAGGAGGAGAGCAGGAAGCAGTCAGGGTATCTCTCCATAATACCTCAGGTTGTAGAACCATCACCATTTGGTTGACATTGAACCTGCTATGTTCCATTTTCATTGTCTGAAAATGGAGAAAATAATAATCCATATCCTTGACCTTGACATTGTCTGAAAATGGAGAAAATAATAATCCATATCCCAAATGCCCCACTGAGTATTAAGAGGATTGAGGGTCTGGATATGAAAGCATTGGTAAACTGTAAATGCATAATAAAAACATTTCATTTTATGGTTATTTCAATGGTCAAAATGTTCCTTTAAAAAAAAAAAGTCTACTTAGTTAGCAGAAGAAAGTAATTGAAATGGTCAAAAGTTGCATAATTAAAATTTTTTGAAAGATACTATATAAGTGGCCAAGTAGTCAACACTCAAGTGATTAACTTTTGAGCTGTTCACTCATCTGCTTTGCAGGCACTGGACAATGCAGAATTGTTCTGGAGGACAATGTCACAATGTGCATTGTGCCCTTTGACCTAGAGTTCTACTCATAGGAATTTACCCCAATAAAATAATCAAAGAAAGAGGAAACACTATAAAAAGATATATACTCTAGCATTATTTAGAATAGCATAATCTTATAAACTTGTATACATAGATCTCTAACCCATAAGAAAAATACAGTATATCACCTCAAAAAATGACATAGCCATTATGAATCATTATGAAGGCTAAGTAGAAATCAAAACAGTCATACTAAGAAAAAAAAATCAGAAAATATAATTGCATCTGCATTAGGATTCATAAGAAAAACTTTAAAATGAAGATAGTTGAGGTAATAGGGTAGAGGGACTAACATGATATTTTTTCTTTTTATCTTTATTGTTGTTTGAACGATAAAGTCACATTGATAAGAAAAATATTTCTTTGCTTAAGTTGAATTGAGGAGAAGGCTAGGCATCGAGATGACACGGCCTAAGTGGGCCATTAGCTTTGAAATAATATACTTTGTTTTAAAATATGGTGCCTGTAAATATTGACCATTTCCCAGTAATGGAATTTTTCAATGGCAAAGCAAATCCAGGATTCTCTCTGAGCACCCTTTCATTGATGGCTGTGAAAACTAAGTCCACCTCCTCTAGCTGGTTGGATGCCCATGCTATACTGGATAATCCTCATAAGGGCTGGAGGAGTTAGGACACTGACCTGCCTCTGCCCCTTGCAACAATTTGCCAGGAAGCCCTGGATGAGTCAGGTGTCCCTTGACCACCGTGTTAGAAGCCAGACTGCTGGCAGAGGCACAAACACAGAGAGACTCGCTCTTTATCATGGTCAAGGATGCCCCAAGACTAGACAATATCTGTTAGAGTCTTTGCAAGACACAAGACCAAGAACTCAAGAAGACTCTGTAGTATTTTTAAATAAGTAAAATCAGATGTGTTGTTCTGGGCCTCTGTGATAGTTGTGTGTGTGTGCGTGTGTGTGTGTATTTTTATGACTGATTTTTTTTTTTATTTTGTGTACTGAACCCTTGAAGATCTTGCTTGTTAAAACCTCAGAGACTGCACCGTAAATTTAAGTGGCTCCACAGATGCTTGTGAAACAAGGTGAGAACCAAGATTATTCTAGCTTAAAATGATTATCCTTAAAATTATACAAGATTTCAAAGCTCGGGTTTCCAAAACTGGAAATTTTCCAAGTGGTCAAGTTTGGCTCTGATGAAGCAACTCTAAAGAAGAAGTAAAAAAGCACAGGGATAAGGGAAAGCGGAGTAAATGTCCTAAGGGTGTCGGTCTGCTGTCCTGAGATGTCTGAAGCAGAGGTCTCATTAACTGTCTAGAGTTGGAAGGGCTCAGGGGCTTGCCTGCTCAGAGCTTACTTGGCTAGGGAATTTCTGAACTTCTTGCCGACACCCCGGGCCTTGCTGACAGCTCCTCCAAATTCTGAGGAGCTGATCATCTTTGGCCCAATTCTGATTGCTGAGGTATACCTGTCTGGAACAATCCAGTGTGGATGCCTACCACCAGGTCAGCAAGGAAAGCATCTTCAGCCTACCCAGAGTGATGGGAACGCCTGACACCCCTCCCGCTGGTCTGGAACAGCTTACACTCTGGAAGAGACTAGGTCACAGAGCCAATCTGCTTTGCTCTAGGCAGAAGGCAGTTACATGACTCATTCACAGCCTCAGCCATTTGCTTTTGGGTTAGTCCTCGAGATCATTCCCTATTGCCTGGACCTTCCTGGTCATCCTGCTTGAAGGGATTTTTAAGAGCACTACCAGTCCTTAATGGAGGACATGTACAGGGTCACTTGCTAGTCAGGAAAGATGTACCTGCTGGGGTCATCAGGAGACTTAAAGTCCAAGTCATACCTCCCAGACCTGAAGAACTCAGAGGCAGCCACATCTGTGTCAATTACAATCTTATTTGTGTAGCTGGCTTTCACAATTGCATGCTTTAGAAGCTCTGAGGCTTACTTAATCTCTAGGATGTTAGGAGCAAAGCCCTCTTCATTCCCCTCATTGGTAGCAGCTTTCCCTATTTCTTCTTAATACCATTCTTCCAGCTTGTGCTAAACCTCAGCTCCAACAGACATGGCTTCCCTGAAGTCTGCTGCATCAGCAGGGAGGACTACAAACTTCTGCATTGTCACCGAGTTGCCGGTGTGAGAACTACCACCAGCATCATTAAAACTGCAACTTACAGGATGACTTCAGAAGTGCCAATCAAGTCAGCAGTGTGACAGTTCAGGAAGCCCCCTTCTCAGCATCTTCAGCCTTATAGACAGCATAGGGACACCCTATTTTGGCATGTACACCAAATATAGATTTAGTCTCCGTGCCATTCATCCCTAGCATCAGTTTGTCAGAATCCTATTTCATAAAATTCAGTTTCTTGCTACTTGGGGCAGGTGCAATGATTTTATTGATGTGCTTGACAGCCTTTGAGACATTTTTACCTATATATCAAATCTTGTCATCGTTCCGGAGCTTTAGGACCTCAAAGAGACTAGTTGAGGCACCTCTGGGCCATGGCAGGTCTAAAGAACCTTTGAAGAGTAAGGCAGTTACCTCAATAGTTGGATCCCCACAATAGTCTAAGGTCCCTGACATGGAATCTGAAAGTAGCCATGGCTAATTTCTAGCCATAGGTTTCACTGCCCCCCAAAAGGACAGAGTGCTGCAGATCCCAAAGGAGATGTTAACTTCACAAGCCCAAGAACTTCTCCTCTATTCCCCTGAGCTTCCTTCTAGGTATTTTAATTAAAAAAAAAAAAAAAAATAGACTTACGCATATTTAAAGAGAAGAAACCAAAACCACAGAGACCAGGAGCATATATTGTGATGATTATGACCTTCCAGATAAACAAATGTTATAAAGACAATGTCTCAATACTTACATTTCCAAGCTCCAAATTCAATGAGTACAGATGCCCCAAACTACAACCCCTTGGAGAAAAGGAAGACTTATAATTGAGAGAATCCTCCTGACATGAATGACATCCTGACATCTGATGTGCTAAGAGCCTTCCGATTCCAGACACCTGACACCCAAACCTCTGCCAGGTATCGGAATACAGCAAGTTCTAAGGGGAAGAGACCTTGGATGTATCATCTGGTGCCAGCCCCTCCATTCTGTGGGTGAGGAATCAGAGGCCCATATGCCTGAATTCATGCCTAAGTTGACCTGAGAAGTATAAATTCATCTGGCTTCAGCTTCTTGGACCCAAGTTCAGTGTTCCTTGCATCATCTGCCTCCCATCGCAGCCAAGGCCGCTGCTGAATTTCACGGCAGGAAACTAACTCTATGTCCACAGATTCCATCCCTCTGAATTTAGTACAGTTGACTCTCAAACAACACAGGTTTGAACTGCACAGGTCCACTTATGTGTGGATTTTTTTTTTCAATAAATACTATATATATTTTTTTCTCTTCCTTACGATTTTCTTAATAACATTTTCTACTCTCTAGCTTACTTTATTGTAAGAATACAGCATATATTACATATAACATATAAAATATATGTTAACTGACTATGTTATTGCTAAGGCTTCCAGTCAACAGTGGGGTATTAGTAGTTAATTTTGGGGGGAGTTAAAAGTTATATGTGGAGTTTTGACTGTGAGTGAGATTGGCACCCCTAACCCCGTGCTGATAAAGGATCAACTATATTTCCTTGCTGCCCCAAATGCAGAGATCTTCCTGACACCTATCAAACTTGGAGGATCAATGTCCTCTTGATGCATAAAAATGGGTATGGAAAGGGGAGGGAACTTGCATCTCAACATGGAAAAATGAAAACTAGCTTCAGGATGGGCTTCTGATGGGGCACAGCTCAACTGTGTGCTATGCTCCTAGTGCTCCACACTGGAAGAGTTTCAGTTCGTGAAGGAAGCATTTGTCCACAGTCTCCAGAAACACAGTCATCAACCGTCCAAAGGACTCATAAAGGGTAACTGCACTGCAGGCAAGTTACCAAGAGAAGCAACAGAATGAGAACAGGAACTTGGACACATCTTTTATGGCTTTTAGTTACTATGTGGTAATAATATAAAAAAGGGAGGTGTTCCAAATTTAGATCCTTTTAATTTGTTGCAACACTGGCGTTTGCACTTTCTCTATAACCTGCCCCTCTCTACTCCCTCCATCCCTTATTGCCGAGGATATAATGAGGCTGTTTGTTTTAACGTTGTAACACCTAATTCCTGCACACTTTGTTCATCAAAA